TACCTTCAGACATTACTAAATTCAAATTTGAGTCCTGGAGTCTTAGTTTTGCCATATTTAATATGGATCTTATTCTTACATTGTGGAAGTGGGTGGAAGTGGTAAATGGTAAAAGAATTCATTTTTATTAGACTTTAATAACTAAAGGATGTATATTTTAGTCTCTAGAGTTTCCACTAAGAGACAAATAAAAAAGTGTAACTAATAAGGAAATAGTAATGAAAAGGAGAATAAAATAAAAGTCTGACTAATACAAATTAAAAAAGAAGATAGAAAGAAACAATGTCAGATATAGAGAAAGAATCATAAGATCATAGATTTAAACTGAAATATATTAGTAAATACATTAAATATAAATGGACAAGATACTCTAACTAAAAAACAAATATTGTCAAAGTAGATTTTTTTAAAAAAGTCATTTGCTGCTATAAGACGTATATATATATTTTATATATAAAGATACTGAAATGTTGAAAATAAAAGGATAAACAAATAAACCTAATATTAACTAGAGGAAAGCTGATCTAGCCATACCAAAATCAGATAAATTAGACTTTAAGGCAAGAAAAATTACTCCAGATTTTAAAAAATGAACATTTGATAAAGTTAAAGGGATTTACCCAGTAGGATGATATAAAATTCTGATTTTTTTATGGATCTAATAGCATAGCTTCAAAATGTACTTAATAAATAGCAAAAATTGTCAGAGAAAATTTAAAAATCCACAATCAGAATGGGAGATATCATCATTTTACAGCAGTGTTTCATTTCGGATAAAGCAAATGAAAATTTAAGAAAAATTTAAGAAATTGTCAATAATATATTTTTTCTTCTTATATAGGACTGGAGAAGCTTGCACAAAAAGGGAAATCATTGTCACCTTTAGCAAGTATAACTGGAATATCAGTATTTTTGATTGTATCCATGAGTCTTCTCCTCCTATGGAAAAAATATCAACCCTACAAAGGTAGGTTAAAAATTAGAAAAGAAAAGAAAACAAGGTAGCTTTATAAATGTACTAAAAATGTAACTTACTATGTTTTTTCTCTCTTGGTTTTAGTTATAAAACAGAAACTAGAAGGCAGGTAATGCATATGTTTCTACAATTTTTTTGTTCTTGAATGCTTTTTCTCAATAATTACCAGTGACAGAAATGCCTATTTATCTTTGCAGACCAGAAACAGAATATAGGAAAGCTCATACATTTTCAGGTAATGGCCAAGCTGAAAGGGGTTATTAATGTTAATGTGTATTAGATAATATTATTGATATTAATAATTATATATAACATACTATTG